TAGGCATATCTGATCATAATTGATTTAGCAATACCAAACGTTGACACTGATCTACGTATGTCATTTCATTGATCTAACAACCCTCTAATGGTAATATAGGCATGTCATACCATTGATCTAACACTCTCCAATGGTAATCTAAACATGTCTGATCGTAACTGATTTAGAAACCTCTAACACTGATCTACGTACTAGTCATTTCATTGATCTGACAACCCTCCAATGGTACTATAGGCATGTCTTACCATTGATCAAACACCTCCCAACGGTAATCTCAATCTGAGCATGTCTGATCGTAACTGATTTTGCAACCCCTAACACCGATGTACGCATGTCATTTCATTGATCTAACACCCTCTACTGGTTATATAGGCATGTCTTATTATTGATCTAACACCCTGTAATGATAGTCTAGGCATGTCTGATCATAACTGATTTAGCAATCCTCAGGCTTTTTTCACGGACTTTTTAGGGCCGTTATTAAAACGGCCCCAAAAACTCAATCTTGAATTGAGTTTTGAAACTCAATCTTCTCACCAAAGTTTCAGTGCAGTAAAAACGAAGTTATTTGAGTTAAATTCGTGACGTGTGGAAATGAGTTTTCAGTTGGAAACCCGACAATTAAGAAAAAATAGCTGGAATTCATCTCACAACACAAGAAAAACTATGCATTCGCCATCTTTAACGAGTTTATAGTGTCCTTCAGTGCACCTGATTTAACACATTCCGTCTCAACTACATTTATTGAGTACAAGTGTCAGCCCCCAGTGGGGGGGGGGGGATGCAACCACCCCAGCTGTTCAGCTAAACTCAATCTTCTCTGCAAAAACGGACCCAAGAGAAAATCCTGGAAAAAAACCTGAATCCCTATTAAGCACTGATGTACGCATGTCATGTCATTGATCTAACACCCTCCAATCATGATCAGACATGCCAAGATTACCATTGGAAGGTTGTTAGATCAACGATATGACATACATAGGACTACTATAACATTTTCGATAATACGTCATGAATACATTCTTGGTCTGGGAGCCTTGCTCTCGTCAATCAAGACGGAAGGCGATTGGCTCACGATTCATGAGAATAAAGCTGCCAGGCCAATAACGTACTCGTGATGTAATTATCGAAAATATGTATTAGTGGATGTTAGTGTATTAATGAAAACGTAGACCAGTGGTAGAGAGTATTTTAAGTAACGAAAGCTTTTTGTCATTGATATGAAATACCAAAATCAGCATAAATTAAAGAGTTTTGGATTAATAGATCATGGATATGACATTCCTAAATCAATGTTAAAGAATGTTAGATCATATATTAAATGCCTAGAAAAATGTCAAAGTTTGCCACATCACTATTACTATTAGGTCCTTCCAAAGTTTGAACTTTAGAAAATAGACAATAAGCGACTACAATAAAACGTATATTGTACAATTTTTTTACAGTGTATAGGAAAATCTATTTACATTACTACTCCAAACTTAAGCTACTTATTTAACTAAGTGTTCCAAGAGCTTTTTCAATGGCTTGCCTATTTCCTAGTGGAAAGTTGTAACTTGTCTGGCCTAAGGTTTCAGTCAGTGTGAAATACATGGGACCATGCATTGTACGAATGTTTTCCCCAGTAAAGTCACTTGTTTGGAATGCAGGACTTTGTAACCTTCAGTTAGTAGGACTAAGGTCCAACCAGTAATCTTTGTAAGTGGTCCTGTTTGCTGTATTTAAGTTGGCTTTAGTGATAGCATAGAATAACCTTTCTTCTGCTTCAGTATAAACGGGCAAAATTAAAGGTTTTTCCTCCTGGCTGTGCTTCATGTTTTTGCCAACAGCCATGATTCGAGGTCATCTGATGAACTCTTGAACACTTGCTTCTCATCTTCACCTGTGAGCTTCCATGCTGCAGAAGCCAACTGGTTTTTCTCAATCAACATCAAATCTTTGCACTCATCTAAAGGACATTATAAAAATAAGATTCTGGGTGATTCATCAATATTGTTCTGGGAATGAGAATTTGCGGAAATTCCCCCCCCCCCCATATGGCACAATCTTGACCCTTTTATGAGTTATATGAACATTTATTGAATCTCAACCTTTATTGAATCTTATTAACAAGGATCCTATATATTTATATACAAGAAAACACAGTTTAGCAAAACAAAAAGATTGACGTGCATTGTCATGGTGGCGACAAAAAAGCACGGTCAGAGACCTTCTTAAAGAAATAAAACATGCAACATGATGTGGTTTAGTGTTAGTTGCACAGGAGCCCTAGCCAGAGTTCTATCATTTTTGAAGATATATTTCCTGAAGCACATAATATCAATGCAGAGTGATTTTCTCTTTGCTCTTACTCTTACTTTATCACTTTGTTATTAGATATGTAGCATAAAAGAGCAGAATACAAAACTGATGAATCACCACATGGTTATATTTCATGGCTGAATATTTGCATTTTATTGCTTCACCAAGACAATGTTAGTAAGCCTAGGGTGAACCACTGAACCAGGTAGAGCTTTTTGCTATCCGGCCAGAATATCCAGTCGGATATGTTTGATATATAAGCTAAGTTTGAGCTTTCAATTCATTTAAGGTAAAACAATGGTTTCAATTGACTATAAAATGGCTCGATTGTTTATACTATTTTGACTCAAACACATGGATATTTACACTTCATTATGTTGTTTAACAATAGTCAATCTTTTTATTCTAACATTTGCATGCTCTCTGTTTCATGTCTGAAAGTGTCTGACTGTCTGGCAGCAGACAAAGTAACATATGACCATATGACTCAGTTCCAGCCGGAACTTTCTTCCAGTTCCGGCCAGATCCAGTTCCAGCCGGAACTTAAAAAAATGGTTTCTGGTGCACCCCTACAGGTCTAGCCTAGGAAGGCGCTTGATCGTGTGTGCATGCCTATTAGCTCATTAAGCCGCAATGCGTCCCAGTGCACCCTACTTTTTTTGCTTGTCTAATGACAATGGGGAAGCTCTGCACTTTAAGGGGTTAACCAAAAAATCTGACAATGTCTCTAGTTATTATGCACCTATCAATGTTAAGCCCCCGAGGGGGGGGGGGGAGTTCGGGCATATGTGGGGTATTTGATTATCAATTCCATCCCCACCCTAGGGATTTTGATTAGCATTTTGGCCCCAAGTTGGGGCAATTTGAACCGAATGACTGTTATTAACCTGCCTCGTACCCAGGCGTCTCCTTGTAAAAAAGCAGTGATGCCCATATGACGTGTTTACATGAAGTATTGTAGTGGGGAGAGATGGCGAAGGGGCTGATGGGAAGAGTGTACTTGAACTGCGAGACGCCTGGCAGTTCTTGGTCGATTTCTTGCAAATTTGTACGATTTCTTGCAAGTTGTGCTATTTCGTTGTCGTTTACGATTTTTTGCTACTTGTTTTTGTTGAATTGACTAATGTTAATATTCTTCTGTCATCCGGGTGTGAATTCATGCTGTTATTCTTGGTATATATGACATATATATGCCCTTAAAGTCCATGGAAATTCCAATATTAACATGTCAACAACCGAAGCGTTGAAGAACTAGACTTGCAGGAACTACATTTGTAAGCTATAACTATATAAAGGTACAGACTATAAAATTGCACTATTGTAATAAATATTTCAAACTTTACGGCTGTGAACTTTTATTTACTTTGGCTTTTGTTTACAGTATACATTTAATAGAAATTGCCATTGGCATTGTGATCGACTGATTGAGCTTTCAGCTAAAGAAGTTATTAATACAAAAGCAATTATATGACTTTCTAATCATTTCTCTGTTACTGTTTTATGCTAACTGAGCAACTGATAGCATTTTATTATTCTCCATGTAATATCGAATGACATATTCGAAATATTCGCACGGTTAACTTGTCATGTTATTTACTCATAATTTTTCGCGCATTTTGCATGTCATCGAACATCTACAAATGTATTATTATTTGCCAATGGCGTTCAGTTCAACTCTTCATCACAAAATAAGGTTTTACACACAGAGTATATGACGATATGGTAACTTTTTGTATAAAATTCCCTGTTTTCCCGCCATGACAGTATACAAGAACTGCCAGGCGCTCCCCAGCATGCACCCTTCCCAACAGCCCCTTCGCGTGTCGTATGCCTACCTGAATACTTCATGTAAGCGCCTGGGTACGAGGCAGGTTATTAACATAGTATTTATTGCAATTTATTGCAAGATGGTGGGGGCATTTGACCAATATTTATTGCCCGACGGTGGGGGCATTTGATTGAAAATGTGCTCGAAAAATCAAATGCCCCACCTATGCCCGATCCCCCCCCCCCCCCTGGGGCTTAAAATCGATAGGTGCATTAAACCCATTGAGACGTAATGTGCCCCAGTGCCCCTACTTTTTTTTACTTTTCTAACGCCAGACAATTTCACTCATCAATGGGAAACATGCATGTTACAGTAAGTTCAGATTGTCAACTAGGCATGTAATAACAATATACGAAGTAGACTCTCGCATAAGTAGGTGCATAGAAAATAGTGCCTTGAATGCACAGTAGCTGCACTATTGATCAAGTATCTTGGTTTTCATCCAAGTAAGGCCTGATACTAGTTTATATTAGTATATTTTTGTATGTCATCTAGTGTCTTTAATAGTAAATAGTCAACATTAACATCACTATGATATCTATATTTACCTTTTAATATAACTTGAGTCGTTGTTAAGCCAGTTTCTGCTACAGCGCTTTCGATCATTTCGCGATAATTTAGACCAACACCGACCATTCCACGGCCGTAAAACCTTTCCAAAATATCTCTCAGGTTGTCGCTTATTCTAGTTCTCTTTCCTATCTCCATTTCATTGCACAGAATCGCAAATAGACTAGAAAATCTGCTAGAAATGTTTTCAAATATGGCAGCTCAAAGCTCGAGAAGCAGTGTTTCCACAACGCATCATTCAAATTTCCTTGAATTTGCTTTAAAATTTCCTTGAAATTTGATGTAATTTCCTTGAAATTTCCTTGATTAACCGAAGTATATTTCGGCAACTAGAATTCATCAATACTCATATAAAGTAAGACAGAAACAGAATGGTACGTTTATTTCGTACAACTCTTAAAAACAAAGCCTTTACACAACAATTTTGAAAGCTTTAAAATGTAAAATACTAGAGTTTTAAAGGTAGGTTGCAGTCGCATCTGCGCATGCGCTGGACTTTGTTTACGTTTTTTGTTTTGATCCACATTAATTATATAAGATGAAGTATATGACGAGTTCAAAGTAACATTCCACATAATTTGTGACCGAGGAGTGCAATGTTTTACAATACTTCGCTGCATTTATTGTACATTTCTACACTGGAAATTTTTGTACACAATCTCATACTGTAACTCTTTAACTGTAAACATTGTGAATAAACAGGCCGCTTTGAACCTTGTGTGACTTGCTATATGCAACAGCTGGGGCGGCGAACCGAAATCCCGAAGGTGTGAGTTCGAATAATTTGTGTTTAGTGTTTACCTTTGGAGTTTGTGTCTAATCACGAAAATAGTTCATGTGGTATCAATCCCTCGAAACATGTTGCCAGAGTTGTTGTTGTCATTATGACAGAAGCACTTGGGGAAAGCTTTTCGCTTGACGAAATTCGAAACAAGTGTGATTGAGAATGTGGCTGCAGTTCCTGTCTTCGTGGCAAAGCCAAGGGCGAAATTTTTGACCGTGCAAAAGCTGGATAAACAGCTTTTGTTCAAGCTCGTGCGCTATGGAGATAATTTTGGATGCTGTTTTAATATAAACAACACTAGAAGAGTTCAATAGATTGACAGTGACGAGAGTACGAGACGCTAAGATTATATTCAACTTTTTTGTGTTATAAAAATGTATGTTTTGAAATTATGAACTGGAAGTATGAATTCATTGATATTACTCTCATATTGACACTAAATGATGATATTCTTGTGACACTGAATGATCTAATATTAGCTTCAACAATTCTGGTGATCAGGTTACTTCATCATGTCTCTTCAAGACGGAGGACAATTGCTAAATATATGCTTGTTTCGCTCTATATCAGAGCTCATCAGAATGCCCAGGAAACACTGATGAAATTTTGATTTACATCAACGAATCTTTCTTTTTATTAACAGATTTATTGGGTTATATGGTAATATATTTATACAGACATTAAAGGAGAACTCCAAGGGGTTAAAAGCACAAACATGACTCCAGGGCTTTATTTATAGCCTTTATATGCCCCCTGAGAATACTGAATATAGCTACTAAATATAATTACAGTTTGTAACATGAACAATCAGATAAGCACCATTTACATCAGGGTCTGAAATTTATATTTTTTCTCAGTATCTAAAGGGGATAGCAGGATTCAAAGTTTAGTATATCCTATCCCATCCAAATAAGTTTCCATAACACTCACTGTTACAAATTACAATAACAACTGAGGAGACTCCACAGTCCACAGTCAACAACAAATAAACAATTAATCCACATAATCCTTCAACAAACTTCTATATGCTAGTCCTCATTGAGGAAAGACTGGTGGTAAACTGATAATATTCAAAAACTTTCAGGAGCCCATCAAAGGAAATTTTTTAGTATCCAGTCAGGATAGTATCATTCATAATTTGGTATCCAAAACCAAATTTTTGGTATCCTGTGGATATCGGGACACTAAAATATATTTCAGACCCTGTACACAAGAACCTGTTTAGGCTAACTTGGAAAAAAATCTAGGTTCTTATTCGCAGGGTTTTACTGTGTTGTCTAATTTTGTCCCAAAACAGACCATGCATGCACGGCAGCCTGTTCTGGCAACATAGATAATGGGATGGTGCCACTCTTTGTGACACAAAATCAGGCAATTATAGTACAATATGAACTGGCAAGTGTCTGGCACCTTAAAATCAGATTCCTTTGTGTAGATGGAGCTCATAAGCCTTGGCTGGCAATCCATCTAGGAGAAAGAAAGCTCTGATTTCAAACCCCCAGACCCCACTTTTGGACAAGACATGTATTGTAACTATATCAGTCATGATCATCTAAAAATGCCAGTATATATGCATTTATACAAAGCTGTATGCACTGTAAAGCTACACTTTATTTATCGCAATGACATTTTCAGGGTTCTGGATCATTTTCATTACTTTGTGAAGAGTTTATTCTCTTTGATTTTTATACATTTTTAGATCTGACTGGTCTCCATGTGATAAAATAAGAACCTGAAATACTAGCCTAAACAGATTGAGTGTCTAAATACTGAAAAATTAGCCTGACAG